GAACGCTGTTACAGATACTGCCACTGTTACCGCCAATCACCAACCACTGAACACCAACCACCAACTGCTGAACACCAACCACCAACTGCTGAACACCAGCCACATAAAAGATGAAGACTAACAAAATGTCACCAACTCAACACTTCTGGTGGTGACACATAAAGTAATATCTAAAACACTTCAACAATATAAGAAACGGAAAGCACAATATTGGCAATACCCAGTGATGAATATTGCGAGGGCAGGGAGCAGTATAAATAGGTATTTATTGGAAAAGTGAGCTATAGATGTGGCAGTGAGAAGAAATACTATTACATTGTTACAGTGATACCATCTATTGAGAAAACCTGATTCTAATAGTATCATATCCAGATTATACAGATACACATCCTATAGTTTTCGGCATGACAAAAATGCAAATTCTGCGCAGAGATTCTGCATGAAAAAATCTAGTTCCACTAAAATTCTGCAAGCAACGGCTTCATTTGAACTATTACAAAATTGCAGGGAATTCGAATTTGCAAAAAATCATTGTGACGCAAAAATCTTCTCTATTTTGGCTTGACAATAGCACTTTAATATCAGGCCCGTAGCCAGGATTTGCCAAGGGGGGTTCACTTTTTGAAAAAATTCCAGGGGGTGTTCACGTTTGACCATTTTGGTCCCAAAATGGCCAAAATCACTTAAAAAGTGCTCAGAATGATGAAAAACTGCATGATTTTGAAAGAATTTTTGCCTATCGAACCCCCCTGGCTAGGGCCTGAATATACAGGTTGTCTAACAAATGAACAAGTGAATTCATTCTGTGACAAAAATTGTAAGAAAAGGGAAAGGACCCCTTGTAATCCTCAAGTCCAAAAAACAGCAAAAATCATTGGAAACTAAGCCATATCTCTGAATATTTTGATATACGAGGGTGTATCTCATACTTGAGTGGGTTTGGGGTAGATATCACCCGGGAATATATATCGTATCTGAGGAGCGGGCAGGATATATTGTATATGTCCCACTCCAGGCCAAATGCTGGCAGATATAATATATCCATCCCGCTCCCGGGAATTTTTCAAAAGTTTAAAAAAGTTTAAATATCAAAAGTTTTAATTTTTTAATTTTAAAATTAAATTTTTTTAAGTTTAAATGTTACAATTTCATTGTATTGAACAAAAAGAATAGTCCACCCGCTATGGCTCAGTGGCAGAGAGAGTCAAGGTTACCAATATTGCTTGGCCCCGGGTTCGATTCCCGGTTCAGACAAGTTTGTTTGTGCGTTATGTAATTCTGGGTGTTTGACTGAGTGGTTCACGACTCGTATAAAAGGCTGTGGTGTGTACCTGAATGTCTGTGTACCTGTGCACATAAAAGAACACAGGGCTCCTCCAAGGAGGGGTTTCTGGCTCTATCTTCGAGTGTAAAATACGTAAAATACGGAATATACCAATGAGGTATTGCTCGCCAAATATGGCGGTAACCAAGATATAATAATAATAATAATAATAAGTACGAAAATGTTAAATATAAATATCTTGTCATTTGAAAAAGGTTGAAAAGGTTATATCTACCCTAAACCCACTCATGTATGAGATACACCAGTTATGCACGGTCGGTTTGGATACATGGAATATCCCTTGGGATATACAATACATCTTCCCTCGGTCCCTCGGGAAGATATATTGTATATCCCTCGGGATATTCCCTGTATCCAAAACCTCCCAGTGCATAACCCCTATATATCATAAAGTTCTCATAATATCTCTCTAATTTTTTTATTTTTCAATATATTCTGATGAATTTTTCACAGAATATGTAGTATACAATGCTGCATTAATCTATCAAAACATATTTGGTATAACAGAAATATTATTTAAGAAATGGTTGCCATAGTAACCGGAAATCAAGGCACCCGGGGCAAATAAAAAATCATGCAAGAATAGCCTCAACTAACCATGTTAAAATGCATAATAAGTTATCAAATAAGCTATGAAACACATCAAATTGTTAAACACCATGTATTCTTGACTGTTTTGAACTATTATAATGGTCATATGAATTTCTCATAATGGATTATTGTAATGCTTCATTAGAAGTGATGTTAGACACTACAACTGTTTTGTCAAATATTCCAAGGAAAGTCGATTTTCCACTTTAGTTCATCTTAAATAAATAATAGACCACACATAGGGTGTAATTTTGTTGATATCTTTGCAACATATTTGTTTTAGATCATCTTTAGTATGAGCAAAGATTTTTCGAACTAAACTAAACTTTTTATCAGTATGAATATTATTTTTCTGATGATCCCTGCATCTATGCTTTATCTAACTCAGTCATTTCTGATAATTAAGCTTTGATTCTCAGAGTCTGGTATCACATCTAATGAAGCATGTAAGCATCCTCTGTGACATCACACAATTCACATGGTCAAATTATTTTATAGTAAAAGCATTAAACAACATATTCAAGATAATATTTTAATGTGTTTGATAATTTATGAGAGTTTATTATTTATTTATACAAGGTTAACAAAGCTCATTATAACTCAATTATTTTTTTTGCCCTGGGTGCCTTGATTTCCGGTTACTATGGCAACCCTTACTTATCTAATATTTCTGTTATACCAAATATTTCTTGATAGATTAATACGGTATTCTATACTGCAGATTCTATGAAAATTTCATGAGAATATGTTAAAAAATAAAAAAATTAGAGAGATATTATGAGAACTATGATCACCCTATGCAGACAGAGCCTGTGGGAAATATTGGGTGCGGAGCAAATGAGCGGAGGGTGCGGAGCTAACGGTTATTTTTGAATTTAAATTTGGGATATTTCTGAAACTAAGCCGCTTTGGGACTTCAAATATACCAAGATATGTGTATTTGACAACAAATATCAATACAATTGTGAAAATAGTAGCGCAATTCATTCTATAGCGACGCAGTGTGCCTTAAACCTTTCCCAGACCTATATATTTTGAAATTATCCTTTTAATACTGAGTCCCCAGCATTCATAAAAAATGGTGTTCAAGGTGCACTATCTATACAAATTATTTTTTCATCTTGGAAGCCAGGCAGTATCTGTGTGATTTTATAAAAATTCGGAAATTTTTTCAGATATGAGCCCCCTCTAAATATTGGGTGCGGAGCAGCTCCATAAACGTAGCTGTAACAGATATTGTTGCAAGTATCCCATTTATCCCCCAATAACACTGGATGACCGTTTTACACAAAACATAACACATTCTAGTCTCGGGTATTAACAAATTTAATAAATCCCCAGGGTGGTAATTGTCAAATTAAACAACAATAATTTTCCCGATATTACCTCGTCTAATCTTCCCTCACTTTCACTTTCATTTAAAGCAAACTCAGTCTTTTCATCCCAATTCAAATATTTCCCCTGCCAGTGACAGGGCTTTAGTGTTATTATAAATAAGTTGTAAATCCAATGTTGTACCAACCAACCATGTATGTATATGTGACAATGTGTTCCCAATCTTATGAAATGATGAAGGTATATATTCAATACCTGATGATTTCAGTGACATATCAACCAGGAATAAATTCCATATCCGGGCAAATATTTTTCGTATGTCCCGCTCCAACGAGGATCCGTGACATATAAATCGTATGTCCCATATAAGCCATTCTCCTAGACATACGATGGCTATATGTCCCACCCCAGGAATTCACGTCATAACTATTTCCGCACTGCTTATGCTAGAGCATATGGGATACATGCTTATTATTTCAAACCTCATCAGGTATGGAATCAGGCCCGTAGCCAGGGGTTCGAGCAAACCCCCCCTGGCTAAAAATTCTTTCAAAATCATGCAGTTTTTCATTATTCTGAGCACATTTTAAGTGATTTTGGCCATTTTTGGACCAAAATTGTAAAAAGTGAACACCCCCTGGAAAATTTTCAAAAAGTGTACCCCCCTTGGCAAATCCTGGCTATGGGCCTTGGAATACAACAGTTATGCACAGTTGGTTTTGGATACAGGGAATATCCCGAGGGATATACAATATATCTTCCCGAGGGCCCTCCCAGTGCATAATCCCTATGTATCTCACTAATTCCATACTTGTTTTGAAATTAAACCAGTCGAAGAATATGTTTTCAGGCAATTCAATTTCTTAACTCGTCTTCTCTTGAAGGACACATACCAGGTCACCCAGTTTTTTACGGAATGTTATAAAAACCCTTCGACCTTCGACCTGCACCTTCGACCTTCACCTTCGACTTACAGGGTGTCCAAAAAGAAAATATTATAGAAGCTATTTTTGCCGATCTCAGACCACTCAAGAGTCACTTGATTTGTGGTTCACAGGTGAGATCGTTAAGATCTTAAATTGTAGCAACGTTTGCAGTACTCTAGGTATAGTTACAGGGGTTAAATAGCGTTTTCATGTTTTCATCGAAGTAAAATTAGAGTAAGTAGCGATCAATTACTGTTCTATTTATTGAGTTCAAATCATAGTCTTGTTGTGTGATCAATATTAAAACGGGATATGACGTCAAGCTTTCGACGAGGACAGAGCTCCGTTCAATTTCATAATCTATGTGAAGTTGGACTTAGTCGTTTTTCAAAGAAATATTTTTGGACTTTGACAATTTTCATAAGAAAAGTCAAAGGTGCAGGTCGAAGGGTTTTTATAACTTTCTTTTTGGCCCGCTTTTTGGATACCCTGTAGGTCGAAGGTGCAGGTCGAAGGTGCAGGTCGAAGGTCGAAGGGTTTTTATAACATTCCGTTTTTTACACAAACCCCACTGATTAGGATCCCAAAAAGGTACTATACATCCTAAGATATAGTATAATTGTAGCCTCTACATTAGACTTATGTTTACCTCAGCTTGGTTAAGTATTACTACTATTAGGGAGACATTTACATCAGGTTTATGTTGAAAACATGTATTGCACTGAGAATGTAAAGTTTACCTGTAAATCTGTTTACATTGACAACCAACAATTTTGCTTGACAACAAGTGTTTTAATACTTACCCTCACGGACATTCAGCAAATTTTCGAAATATAACGCTCCAAACGAATAAATGTCATTTGGCTGGGATCTCAAAACTTCTCTAGCTAGTCCTTCTAGGAGATTTTGGAACCCCCGTGGCACTCTTAACTTTGTGTTACTGAACGGTACGGCCATTTTTAAATCTATTCTTTTTGGTCTTTTTCTGTGTCTTTAACACTGTTCAAGTTCTATATTGTATTATGTTACGATAGAAAACTATAGATGTAGTATATTTTCCAATATGGAGGCTCGGTATACCAATTGGTAGTTGCTAAACAACGGTATTGATTTTTCACCTAATAACAAACTTCCATCGAAATGCTGGTTGTGACCTTGACCTTATGATTGGTTTTGCGCAACTTAACGCGCGATATGAATCAAGTGTAAAACACTATAGCACCGCGCATCAAATTCTAATAGTAATTACAATAGAATTTATCAATTATACAGAATGGGAATCTGCATTGATCACACAATGGGTATCTGTAGAACTACGAATAGGCCGTAAATCAGTTGTATTAGTTATAATCTGACCATGGCCGAATACTTTCGGCTTACCTTCTTCTAAGGCCACTGTATCGTGGCCTTCCAGTACAGATATATTCCTGCATGAACAAATGGTCATGTCGTAATCATAAAATTTGAAATCATATGTCCGCCATTTTTCCACATCACAATTTGAATTGCGAGTTTTAGTCTTATTACCTCACCCAAAATTCCAAAACACACATAAAGTGATCAGTGTATTAGTTCACATCTTCTGGATCGCTAACTTAGAATTTACAGCCAGTTACTAATGTCAGACGTTAACGACATTTCGTCCAGTTTTCGAACATCGCCATTTTTCTTGGAGCCAATTTGTTTTAATTTTAGACGAAATCCTGATGAAATCATGTCATATCTCATCAAGGAGACGAGCTGGGTCCGGTCTGATTAATGATTTATTTATCTGGCGATTTTTAAAATATTCAATAAATTTATGACACCCCGGCAAGCTTTTTTCAAATAGAGTTCACAGTATTCCAGATGCAATCCCCTCTAGCCAAGTATTGGCTAGAGACTCGAGTAACTTTCGGCGTACAAATCAGTCAATCAAAACTGAATAGGTCTCAGTTGCCATAGACATGGGTTGTCATCGAAAAATATTTCTCACAAAAGCTCTTAGAAAACTTCACAAATCATTTTTAACTCATATGTTACGTTAAACCAAAGAAAAGCCAAATTACTTTCCCCCAAAATTATTACTTTCCCCCCAAATTATGACTCTTTTGAGGTATGGCAATGGTTGGATTTTTCACAAATCCTTCATTTGAGCATGGGCTTTCATCTAATTGAAAGCCCATGATTGGAGGCTGTTTTGGATCGTTTTCCTAAAAGATCTACCCTTTTCCGGGACTTAAGACAATTCGAATGCCCTTGGTCTTATATCTGAATATTTGGTATAACATTGGTCCTATATATGGACGTTTGGTATGGCATTGGTCTTATATTTGGACATTTGGTATGGCTGTTGGGCGTTATTTTGGTTGGTATGGGAACACATTGAAATTTGACAGATTGGTATGGGAATATATTGATATCTGAGGGTTCAGCCTAGGACCCCCACCAAATTCAGTTTGCAGTGAACCCCCGGGCTCCATGCAATGATTATATCATTTGCGAATATAATAACCGTCACTTCTGTTTGAAGTCCGCTAGGAGTGAAAGCTATTGAAAAGCTTTCAAAGCTATTGAGTATCACGCTCTGCATTTGTCATTTTCTTTATTAACTTTTTAATGGTAAGATATAATGACATGATAATATATGTGTATTTTTTCAGCATAAATAATCTAAAGGTATTAATGAGATCTAGATGTATTGGGTATTTTTACAAAGATTTATAAACTATAATGTTTAATTTTTTTGTCCAGCTTGATCATGGGCTTTCAATAGAAGGCTCTCTTGAAAGCCTATGGCTTGCTGAAGCAGTTTCAAATGTTAAATACAAAAAGAATATCCTATTATATCGTTAAAGGCGAGAATTCGAACGTGCGCATGAATCCTTCCCAAATTGTTAAAAATATTATGAGGGATGAAATGTAATAAAAGTACAAAATTCAAATTTTGAGATAAATACGACTCACTCTTTAAGTTTTCTTACGAATATAGTTCGGAGTAGGGTTACTAGCGGTTATTTGGTTTCCTGTATAAAAAAGCCTTTTCTCCTTTTCTGGCCCGTCGCAGCGCCATCTAGTGTTTGATAAATGAATCAAGGTTTATTCCGATAGGAATCTATCAGGAAAGATTTACAAGTTTGGTTAGAAACAGAATTTTTAGAGATGGCGGAGTGATTTTCGAGACTATGTAGAGCAGAGGCCAAAATGGCCTAATACGTCACTTCCGCTGAATAGAAAAAAGTGGTAGAGGTTCTATGTAAGCAGTCACGACACTTAGAGCATTTTCCCATTTAGGACACCCATGGAAATTCTCCTTGTGTCCACTACAAATTTGGGAATTCTCATTACATACACTCAAACTTTATTTCTACATTTCACATGCAAGCCACATTAATTCATATGTAGTTTCCTCATGTGTATTTCCACGAACACTATGACACACCGTTTGTCTCTAAGCTCAATGTCCAACATGTGTCAGGTACCTATACTCATCGTGGCCGATGCAAGCAGTCACGAAAATTCAGCAAATCTCGTCCACATCAGTTATGCCTGTGAAATCTCCTCCACACGTGCGCACGTAGTACTAACTCCCTCAGCACAAGTGAAATCTCCTTTACACGTGCACTTAGTGCTAATTCCCTTACATGCGCAAATCTCGCCCACATCCGTTTTGCCTGTGCATTCCCCTCTACACGTGCACCACGTAGTACTTACTTATTCGCCCTAATTCCCCTGTTTCACATCTTCGCACAGATTGGTGGGGTAAACGGGGGTACGGGGAAACGGGGGTACATACTCATGCATTTACACATCTCCTATACACTTCATCCTACTATGTAACGTACCGTGGTTGGCGGGGTAAACGGGGTAGATACTCTGACATGTATTTACATATCTCCTATACACTTCATCCTACTATACGTGCCGTGGTTGGCGGAGTAAACGGGGTACTTACACTATCTCCCATACACGACTTGATCCTACTATACGTACCGTGGTTGGCGGGGTGAACGGAGTACATACTCTCACATGTATTTACCCATCTCCCATACACTTCATCCTACTATACGTCATGTAATTACCGTGGTTGGCGGGGAGAACGGGGCAAATACTGACATGTATTTACATATCTCCTATACACTTCATCCTACTATACGTATCGTGGCTGGCGGGGTAAACGGGGTACATGTATTTACATATCTCCTATACACTTCATCCTACTATACGTACCGTGGTTGGCGGGGTAAACGGGGCAAATACTGTGACATGTATTTACCCATCTCCCATACACTTCATCCTACTATACGTATCGTGGCTGGCGGGGTAAACGGGGTACATACTCTCACATGTATTTACCCATCTCTCATACACTTCATCCTACTATAAGTCATGTAATTACCGTGGTTGGCGGGGTGAACGGGGTAAATACTCTGACATGTATTTACATATCTCTCATACATTTCATCCTACTATTCGTACCGTGGTTGGCGGGGTGAGCGGGGTACATACTCTCACATGTATTTACTTATCACCCATACAAGTCGATCCTACTAGTAAGCTTACCTTGGTTTAGTCAATCAACATTATTTTAAATACGTCTGTTATAACTCCCAAACGATCCTCAATAAAAATCATCAAATGGTTAATTAGTGGATAAAGTTGAAACCGTCATTCATCAACTTTGGGGTGTTACACCCCAGTCACATTTCCCACGGCCGCCGTGCGGTCTATCATTTCTGCGGCCAGCAGCTTTTCTACGCTCGCCGTAGAATTTCTGCGCTCTCCTACTTTTGCAGTCACATTTCCCACGGCAGCCGCACGGTGAATTTTAAATTTCTGTTGATAAATAATACTTTTTTTCATTTTATTTACATCGGGACAATTTATAAATGTTATTCATAGTTCTAGGATGTAAAACAAATGAAAAGTGATCGTGAAACATTGACAAATGATGATTCAATCTTGTTGAGCCAGTTGATTTCTACGGGGACCTCAGAAATGAATAAATATAAAACAACGCCAAGTTATAATTTCTACGGCGACCCTGCGGCCTGTAAAAAACTGGATACGCCGTACGGAGCGTAGTTTTTCTATGCTCGCCGCAGAAATCCACTGATTTAATTGATCTGCGGTCGACGTACGGCCGCCGTGCGACAAATGTGACTGGGGTGTTACTAATTTCAGAGAACAATTTCAAGAGGAGCAAAAGACTAACCCCCCAGTCACATTTCCCACGGCCGCCGTGCGGTCTATCTATCATTTCTGCGGCCAGTAGCTTTTCTACGCTCGCCGTAGAATTTCTGCGCTCTCATACTTTTGCAGTCACATTTCCCACGGCAGCCGCACGGTGAATTTTAAATTTCTGTTGATAAATAATACTTAACTCACTCGAAAAGTGCTTAGCTTCATCTGGGACAAATGTTTGTGCTTGTAAATGATACAGGGTGGGCAATAAAAATGAGACACTTTGTATCAGAATTTATGATCACACAGATGAACCATGCATTACATGCAAAAAGATGGGGAATTCGTTCAGCTTTAATAATATTCTTGAAGAAAATGTCTAATATGTCTCCCTCTATTTTAGCTCTAAATCTCAGAAAATTCATCACCGTACATTATATATGCTTTAACCTTTGCTATACCATTCATGAGTCCTTCTAGCCTCAGTTTGTTCCAATATCCATTGCATAATCAACCTATCATCATACCATAGTTTCATTTTTGCATAGAAACCTTGATTTTAGTTTTTGGAACAATTCATACAAGAGGATCAAATAAACGTTATAGTTTCTTTAATAAAAAGTCACAATGTTGTCACAGTTTTATTCTTAACATAAAGGGGGTTGTCTAGGCTACAAATAACAATGCTATGTTGTGTCGTAAAAGAACAACTTGTATTTTTACATCATATTTTATTAGTCAGTTATGTGATAGCATATTTGCTCCCATATTCTATCTTCGCTGATAAGTCTACTTGTGATCAAAGAGTAATAAAACCATAACTAACCATTGTAACGACTTATCCGAAAATATAGATAACAACCCAGGTGCTGAGGGGCGTAAGCCAGTCTAGAGATGAACCTCGATTAAGCAACAAAATTTAAGTTATGTTGCTTAATTTGTCACCATTATGTTTTAGCCCTTTCTTCTAATCTATGCTGTGGGTAGGACT